TGCATGCTCGGCTCGAGCCAAGCAGGGTCGAGAGCTATTCCTGCTCACCAGTCGCTGTGTGACTGCTCTGTGGCATGGAGCTCCACAACGCTGGTCTGGAGTGCCAAAGTATCCCCAGAAGCACAGAGATCAAACGCTGAGCTATAGTTTTTGTACATTGGAGACGCAAGGTGTTTTTGCAGAGTGTTTTGGAGTCGGCAAGCAAGCTGAGCTATTGTGTACGCATGTCCTGTGTTGTACCCACTTAGGATGCTCTGGGAGTCTTTTCCGTCTTCTCCCTACAAGGCAGCAATCAACACAGCCATTGGAAAAATGACCCGAGTTCTTGGAGGACTGCCCTCTGTAAAGCTCAGTGCTTAACAAAGCTTTCTTCTTCTCAGCAGAGTGTCCAAGATGGGCCATGTGCTTGTAGAGTCGGCAGCTACTAATCCTTCCCTTCTCAGTAATAACATCACACCTGGAAGGTATGTATATAAACTTTGTCATAAACAAGGGAGGTTTCCTGCCACGCTCCGCAAGCTGCTGGCAAGCCTTATCCTTGTCTTCCTTGTTTCTGTAACAAACAACTTCTTTCACCATCCTTTCTACCTGATACTGCCAAAGAGCTCTGACACAGGCTCTGGTGTTTTCTTGCTATCTTAATTTTTTAATTGATGGCTAGTTTTATGCCCCATAAATCCCATTTTTCCTTTTTCACCCTCAATCACTAAGATTTCTCCTGCTTTTTGCTCTAAAGGAGATATTCCTGAATACTCCTATGTAGAGATGTTAGAGAAGTAATGAAGTACATCATAATGGGATACATGAGAAGACTGCCCCTTCCTTTCATCGCAGATTAGGCACAAGAACGGCCATTGTACTAATGCTGCCTGAAGCCCTTCAGTGGGAGAAAATCAATAGCATGCCATTTAACAGCTTAGCCTTGCACTTTGGAGAATTCACATACAGGCTTCTTTTCCTTTGGCAGTAGCAATGGGAGGAGAGTCAGTGATAGTGAATTGATCAGAGGTGGAAGTTTGTTTTCAGGGGTGATGGGCAGGGAAAGCATCCTTGTGAAAGAAAAGACCTTTCTAATGAAACTCACGGTGGCTTTATTTCCAAATATTTCTATTCCATTTAATGCAGTGTAGAGATTGATACTGGGGGGAGATAGTGAGCCTGGCTCTGCATTCTGGCTCAGTCCTCAGACAAGTGTATTTTGATATGTTTTTCAAATCCTGCCTTTGTTTCATTTCTTTCATTTGTGAAATGGGAAACAGATTCTCTACGCTTCTGCTGCTTTTAGGCTTGCTGGCACTGACAGCCCGGATTTGAAAGTGCTGCAGACACAGCTCACAGAGTACAAGGCTCTCTGCCAGGCTGCTGAAGTGGAAAGAGACAGGCTC